CCCTTAGAAAGTCCTCCATGAAGGCATCTCGTTAGAAGATAGCCCTAGTGTTGCTTGTCATAATTAAAATAAACCAAAACCTCTTGATGAAACCAGTCTTTCCTTTCATTCTACCTTCAAAATGCTTAGCCTCTAAAGCTGAAAGGCTCGACCAAATACTGATGAAAAGAATTGAATTGGATTATTAAGTTATGGCAAGTAGGCTATCTCCTAAAAGGAAAGATGCCTTCGTGAAGAACTTTCTAAGGAAACCAGCTGGCATAACGTTACACATGAGAAAATCCACAAAAACGCCCATCACCAGCCGTTTACCGTATTCTAACCCCGGTTACGACACAGTGTTCAGCGACTTTACCGCTCGGCCATTTTTGTGCCTTTATGAAGGAAGGCGAACTTTATTAAAATGATTGTCAGAAAACCAAGATGTTTCAAAAGTTGGATGCTTTTTATAACTTGCAGAATGCCTAAAGAAAAAGAGCACGAATGTAGCAATTGCTGAAGAAAAAGAAAAAATCAATTTTTTGCGAATTTAGTATTTGTATTTTTTTTAATTTAAAACTTTTTAATTTATATTTGATTTTTGTGATTTCAAAATAAAATATTTGACTAAAATATCATTTAACAAACCAAATGTAGGATAACTGTTGAAGCAATGGCACAATGAGAAAACTGTTTAAAGCAGTGCATGCAAGTCATCCTAAGTTAAAAAATGTCGATTATACATCTCTCTAGTTATATATCTTTTCGGAACGGAACATTGAAAGGTTGTTAACTGTGCTTTATTTTTTTTCTCTTTATATGCGTTTTTCAAACAATGTAGTCTTGATTACAGTATTTCTTCCGAAAGCAATTCAAATAAATAAAATCAAATTCTGGGAATTTAATATTAATAATATATTTAAAAATGCTCAGTTCGAATGAATAAATAGAAAATTTAAATAATTATCTGAAGAGACTATGCAACACTAACAATTAAAGAAAAGTCAAAAATTTAAAATTACCTAAAATAACTACGACTAAAAATATAGTAAGAAACTATTTGAAAAAAATAATAACGGCCACCTTTGATTTAAACTATGCGTTCTAATGAGTAAATAAAATTTTTAAAACATCATTCGAAAAACACGCAACTTAAACAATTAAATAAAATTTTGAAAAAGAAAAAAAAAAAAAAAATGCTTAAAATTAATAACATTATAATAAAAAAGACATTATTTGAAGAAGGAACACTTGGGTCTTTTTCCTCTCACGCACATGTAAAATGGAAATGAAAATAGGTTGCCACATATTAAGGAATTGCCAATTTTGGCCCAAACTGAATAAAAAGCGCCAACATAAAATTGTTGAATTTCTCCGTAAATTTCGCACAAATTGCAAAATTTAATATTTATGCATAATTTGAGTCGTAAACGAAATATGTAAAAAAATTGGTATGTTATATCAAAAAGTCTGATTTTCGTCTGTTCGGGTAGAGCTATATATAAATCTAATATAGATCCTAAGTCGCACTTCGAGACATGAAGACTCAATTTGAATTTCGTGACTCCCCAATGAACGGGAGATATTAACTGTCCCAGTTTTTTTCTTTTTTTTTTTTTAGCAGTGTACATTCTTTCAATCACTACCTTTTTTTATACTTGATCTGTTTTATTTTTAAGGAACAAAGGTGAGGACACTATTTCAGCATAGCAGCCTAAGCTTTCATAGCTGCATTACAATGTATCTATTAAAAATAAAATATAATTAAAATAAAATTATGTACTGTCCATGTCTAAATACCAGTTTCAAGCTTCTTGAATCGGAGAGCGAAAAAGTTTCATTAAAAGAACATATGAAAAAAATTATGAAATAAATAAAAATACTATTTCATCAATAAAAAATTTAGCCTGTCCATAGTTACATACACATATAATTACGCGAATTTTAAACATTGCATATGCTTAACTGCTTCTATTTTCAAAACACATGACCTATTGTGATGGCATGAAATTAATGTCACTCCTACATGAATGTTTGCATACTCAAATCTGTGGCACACGTTTTAATATGAAAAGACTACCAGCGTAAAACTAATTTCAATACTAATTACATCTTCTAATTGTTGTTAGCTATTATTCATTTTTGTTTAAATACCGGATTTCATTGAATATATTTCCTCATAGGTTTTTAGCACCAAATTTTTAAAATTTTCCCCTTTGTCTATGCATTTAGAGAATGAAATTAAATTTTAAAATGGATTCATTCATGCAGTGACTCTTTTTATCTTACTAATAAAGTCAAACCTTTGCAAACTACCTGCAAAGGTCACACGAAGCCTTTCCTTTCTAACCGTTGAACTTCATACTAGCCCAATACAAGAACCAGAAAAGAGTGAAAGCAACATAAACAGACATTCAGTCTATGAATTTACTCAACTGCTCAATTACTTATGGATGATTTGAGGCCGAAGGAACAGTAGAGACATCAATTAGAATGAACAGAATTCAAGTTACATGGAAACCGAAATTAAGCTATCTTATTATATATCGTAATGTTAATATTATTGTATATTCTTATTAGAATGTAAAAATAGTACTATCTATGTGATAGTTAACAGATTATCCATGGCTACTTTCCATTTTTTATGTTCTTACTGTAAGCACTCCTTTGAAAATCATTCGCATAATTTTTCCTTTTTGATTTTCAGATGATAAAATTGGAAAAAAAAGGGGGGAGTAAGAGAGAAAATAAAGTACTTTATTTTGCAGTTTTTGTGATACCAGAACAGAAATAGCATTTATTTTGTCACTAAAAGCAAATCTTAAAACATATTTCTGTCAATATATTTTTCTGTTCCCATTCTATGCTGGTTGAACTAAACTAGACTGGCAACAAATATTTTTATAAATCTGAAAGCTCTTCAGATTTATAAAAATATTATCATGTAACTTTCTTTCACCCTGTACCACCTGTAGGAGAGTACCTGTTCGCCTGTTTCACCCTGTAGGAGAGTACCTGTAATTTTTTTTTATCTTGTTTTTATTCTGGATATGTTTCCAGATCCCAAATAACAATTTTGATGATTTTAAATCACTGCATGGTATTTCTTCATTTCTAAAGAGATAGCTTTTTTTTTTTTTTTTTTTTTTTTTTTTTTTTTTGTCTATAATAATATGTACCTTTCACGACAGAATAACTGTATGATAATGGCTAAATTATTTTATATTTATCATCATATGGAGAGCTATATGAAGAGAGACTAAGTAAGTAGCAAGTAAGTAGCATTCACTAAGTATTTTACAGCATTTAAAAAATAGTTTAAAATAGAACAATTGGCTTGAAACACCACTTTACAGTAAGCAATCGAAATATTTCAGTAACATGTTAATTTTCATGATTGCGCATTTGATAACATTAATGATAAATGTGTTTAAACTACTTTTACAAAATTCATACTAAAAGAGTTCAAATGTTTATTAAAAAAAAAAAAAAAAAAAAAAAAAAAAAAACTTTAATTCAATATAGCTTTTTTTCAACATATATTTATTTATTAGTCTGTATAAAAATATTTCTGAAAGATAACAGCAGATGTTTGTAATTTGGTCTTTAATACATATCATTAAAATGCATGATCAGATGAAAATAGGCTGGGAAGAAGAAAAATGTTAAAGTAATTAAAAGTTCATAAAAATACATAAATTAAATACAATAATTTAAAATTTTAAAACATTATAAATTAATATAACAAAAATATACACATCATAACAAGGTGATAGTAAACTTGTCTATTATCACAGAGAACAAATGCCTGTGAAACATTGTTAACTTTACAGAAATTAGTTAATATTGAACTAAACATAAATAAACCATTTCAGATTATCTATTCTAATGCTAGAAGTCAAAAAAACAATGTTACTTCTAATGCTAGAAGTCAATAAAACAATTTTACTATGTCCATATTTTAATCGTTTGATCCTTGGTGAATTCTATAAAGTATTAAACAGTGCAGAAAAATGAATAAATGAAAACAATAAAATCTCACAGAATCTCACTAGAAAGGTAGGTAGGTAGTATTATTAGAAGTCTGCATATGATTTTGTCAAGTTCCTCAATTTAAGCAGTAATTTTTTAAAATATTGTGAACTGCAAGATAAGGTAATTTACTAGGTAAATTTTAATGCTTTAGGTAAACAGAGGTCTGAGCTAGTATTAAAATATTGAACTTACATCAGCTTGTGGTTCAACAAATATATCCATTTTCTCACTTTCAACATCTTCTGATTTAACATTTTCTATACTTATTTCATCATGCTGCTCTCTGATTTGTTCATCATTAAATGATAAAATGCTACCAATTCCAGGTAATACGTCCCTAATGTCCTCTAGATTAAATTAAATAAATGTTTTATTTTTAATTAAAAGTTTTTCATTTAAAAATTACAGCATATAACTTGAACCCAATTTGAACAAGAATGCTAAAAAATATACAATACCAAACTTTGAAAAATGAACAATAGTAAAATAACAAAAATAACCTTCAAGGGATTCATGATCACTCCAACTTTCAATTTCATCATGTCCTTCATGTGATATGTCTTGTAGTTCTACATGATTATCATCGAAAATATCTACAGGTCCTTCTGCAGAATAAAAAGTACCTTCAGAGATATATTTACTAATTATAGGTAGTAATTATATTACTAAAACACAAAATAAATAATTTATACATGATAATGAAGTAAAAAAACATACATTATTTAATATATGATGCCCTTAAATATCCTTACTTTTCAAAATGATTTAATGGTTTTCATTTAGTATTCAATAAAACAACATATAACAGCCATAGAAAAATTCATACATCAATTTATAAAAGATCACAAACATACTACGTTCATAAGTAAATTCTGAAGTTTTCAATTGAATTGCTCTTTATTTACTTCTTACACAAATTATTACACTTAATATGAAATTTATATCAATGCTACTGAATTTTCACTCAGTTTAAAGACTCTGGTAAAATTATATTCTAATATCCTTTCTTCAATATGAGAGAAAAACCATAAAGCAATTAATGAAAATTTACAACAGATCACAGAGAAGTAATGTTACACCTAGAGTGTATCTAATATATAAAAAATTATATAAAATAAATCATGTAAGTTAAAATACTAGAAAGTAAAAGATTTACATCCTTTCTTTAAATACTTACTTTCTGCACCATGTAGAGAGATAAAAATGAAGCTCATAGATATAACCAACCCAGAGAATAGCAACAGAAATACACATTTGGCAAATTTACTTGGCTGATGTGAAGGCACAATAAATTCTTCTTCTGCTTCTTGATCAGAATCCCTTGATTCTGACTTTAAAGGAGCAAACATCTGATCATCTGATCGTACATCATCTGAAAAATGAACTAATGACAATTTTCAGGATGTCCATCATTTATATATATACACAAACACATTTCAAGCTGCTACAACACAGTAAGTACATTGAATGAAATGATGTCTTCTGGATAATTTAGGAAGAGAGAGGTAAAAGCAGCTCCCTTTTTACTTCCTTGTATGAAGTAAAAAGGAAGTATTATAATTGCGAAAAGTTTCAGGCAGCATATTTCAACGAAAATATACATTTTGACCACTATCGAATGCAATTTAATGATGTTTTTGTGTGACATCTATACATAAGGACAGAATAAAAGACTCTTTTCATCCAAAAAAAAGTTATAAAACTGCTTTAAAATGAATTCTGAAGAGAATTTTTTGTGGTGTCTGTGTGTACATACATAACTCGCATAACTCAAAAATGCATAGCCTCAGAACATTGAAATTTTGTATATAGGACTGCTATAACATATAGACACGCACCTCCCGTATTTTGGGGTACGATCGGCCGCACAAAAAGTATATAAATATATGTATATATATTTACTATTGTCTCGGCTCAGTGAGTTCAGTTTCTTTTTTCTTATATGTTTGTAAATTGTGCATCTTTTGCTTTAAGAATGAATGAATTATGTGTTTCTTATCTTCTGGTTAAGGTTTTTATGCCTTTAGTTAATCTGCGTGCTGTAGTTGTAGAATTATAAACAATTTAAAAGCTGTTTAAGTGCAGTTAAGCCTAATTTTTAAATAGCATGGTGGACATGTTTGTTTACATTTGAAACAGCAGAATACAGTCAAAAGTTTTTAATCCAGACTCGTCGGGACTTCGGTGATTCCAGATTAGGGGTTTTTCCGGATTATAGATCATCAGTTTAAATCTGGTACAATGGCATGCAGAAATTATAAAATTAAAAATATGAAACTGTAATTTATGAAATAAAGAGCAATTATGATCTAAAGGGTATAAAAATTTACAAAAAAAAAGCTTAATATTTATTTGTTTACTTTATTAAGCATTTCTTTCAATGCATGCATGTGTAAGGCATACATTACGCATAGCCGAAATTAGAAAATTGCAACCAGAAAACTATTTGATGTGTATTCATGATATTTATAAAGACGAGGAATTTGATTTAAATCATATCAAAGATGGAGTACATTGAGATGAAATACTACATTTAGTAAGGAATTATAAGCCGAATAAAATAAAAACATCTGCCCTGAAGATAAGGATAGTGCTGACAGATCACCTTCCAGTTCATTGCACGCCACCACGTTCCTCCAACACCGTTTTTTTTTTTTTTTTTTTTTTTTTTTTTTTTTTTTTTTAATTAGAACAGAGAAAGAAAGAATGAATAAATCCACAAAAAAAAATTGGCACATTTTTTCATTACAAATTCAGAAAGAAAAATTATTCTAGAAGGTCTAAAAGTATTCTACTTTAGGTCACATTTTAATGTACCATTTTGCCCTTTTCTTATACAACTTGCAAAGCTTTTTTTGAAAATGCACTGCATAATATAATAAAATTCATTTTAAATTTTTTCAATTCACTTCTTTCATTTTGTCATTTATCTATGTCAACAGTAGGCAAAATTCAGCCAGCAGGTAAAATGCAGCTCTTTTATTTACCTAACCCATTCTATTATGAAATCCAGTGCATGGACATTTTCATCTCTCTCCTACCTATTTTGGACACAAACTAGTGAAATCAGCAGCATGAGTATGCATCTATTGTTACAGTACATATGCATATATATATGCATCTCTGTAATGAGAGAAGTTGTAACAAGTTAGAAAGTTGTGAAATGCAATCAGTACAAATCATGCTTTCTCACTATAGAATTCAGATTTTGTATATGCTTTACATCTAATTGTGCCAGATTCTAAGAATAATGGGTACTTTTTACAAATAAATTTTAAGAATTTAAGTATAGGTATTTAAACAAGTCAGCACAAAAAAAGGGGGAAGAGAGAGAGAGAAAAGAAAAGAAAAAAAAGGGGAGGGGGGAAAAGAAATTGATTTGGAATTACCAAAATTTTAATGATGCATAGATAGTTAGTACCTGTTTGCAAATGCAGATAATAAAGTATTTTGTTTAGTTTGCCAAGATATAATTTCTGCATTCAAAGTACAAAATGCAAAGAAGAATTTTTCAACAAAGCATTCGAAATACAAATCAGTTTCATCAAGGACACTGTGAAATATTGCAGAGAACTTAAAAAAGAAATAAAATATCTTCACGAAAAAGTATCGATAAAACAGCAGTGAGAGCTAGTTATATTGTTGCATGCAATATTGCGAAATTTTGTAAAATTGCTGAAGCACACTTTGTCAAGAAATACATGGTAAAAGGCTTTGGAATTATGTTAACCTGAAGAGGAAAAATATTTCGAATATACGATTATCTAGAAAAAATGGTAGTACATCAGATTGAAAATATTCTACAGAATTTACTTGATAGGCTAACAAAAACTGTGAACGTTAACTAACATCCTTCTGCTTTAAATGAGTCTTGTGATGTAACTGACAAAAGCCAATTATTAGTATTTATTCATAGCATAGACAAGAAACTCAAAATTATCTACAAACAGTCTATATTCAGTGAAAGCTACGATTGCATTAAACTCTTAAATACCTGCTAAGCAGCATCTCATTAAAATACATTTAATTGGGGACAAAGCAGTAAGCATCACCATAGACTGCTGTCCTATTTTAACAGGAAAAAACAATGTGAACTTATTAGAAAGAACCAGCGGTAAAATAAACGAGATGCAACATCAAGTGCAATGGAAAAAAGTTTTACAACTAGGTCATACCATAATTGTTGGAACAAAACTATTGAAATTAAACCAGGCACAAACCTTAAATCATCCGCAGTTTACTGAATTACTTAAAAGATACTGACAGTGAATGTTCCGTAATACCATACCATGTAGACATGAAATGGCTGAGCGTCAGCAAGGTTTTAAATAGATTTAACGGTGTGTTTTATGAAATTTTAACTTTTTTGTTAATTAAACAAAAATAATGATTATGAAATTGTACCTTTTTTGTTAATTAAAGGAAAAATTAATAATTTTTTCAAACTGCAAAATGAGAAACAGTTAACTGATTACTCCTTCTCTGCTGACATACTAGCTTATTTGATCAAGCTAAATATTGCACAGCAAGGAAAAAAAACAATATACTCTTAATATGTACTAAAAAATCAGGTCATTTATGACAAAATTTAATTTACTTACTGAAAATTTAAATGAGAAACAGTTAAATCACTTTGCAATATTGGAATCATGATGAAAAAACTTGAGAAATTATGATTTTGTTGAGCATGGTAAAATAGCAAAAGCGTTCTACCCTGAATTTTGAAGATTTGAACTTTAAAAAAGTTGAAAAAGTTTTGTTATTGATAAGTACGTCATTTAACTTTAATTGTTTCAAAAGAATAAATAGTAAAGTTAAATTAAATTTAAATAATCCTATTGCGCAATTGCTGCAAGGAATGAAATTTGAATTCAACAAACATTCTCTATTCGTAAATAGCAAATTTAAAGTTAATGAAATTTAATTGCAAACAAATAAATGATTAATTATTGCTGTGAACTAATTTACAACTATCATTTAAATTCTGAGAGCATATGTAAATTAAGTGCAAGTATCAAAATCCATGAATAAATATATAATTCCAAAAAATTTTTTAATCCTAAAAAATTTATAAAAATGCATAAGTGAATAATTGTTGAGAAGGCAGGGACAGACTTATCAAGGGGAAGTTACCTCCAAACCTAACTCTTTAATTATTCAATTTGTGTTTCGTCATCCATATAGGGAAAGGGTAAAAGTAAAATTCAAAACCAAAAGTAAAACCAAATGTTGTGAATTACTAAAAAGAAATTTAAACAAGTGGAACTTTGAGAAATTAGCAAGTAAATGACTAGAATTAAAATTTTTTAAAAAAAAGTAGAAAACCAAAATAATTTAGAAACTCCTGCCTACAAAAACTTCCCCGACACGAATTATGCATGTAAATCAAAAAGAAATTTAATATAGTATTGGAGAAATATTTTTAAACAAAAAGATCTTACAATTATTTCTGCTCAAAATGCTGCTGAAAAATAAATTAATTATAGACTAAAATTTTTTTAATTCAGTTTTTTAAATTAGAAACAAATTCTAATAATCGGTATCACTTCTTGGCTGTTTAGTTACTCTTCAGGTGTTCGGCCTCTTCCTGAAAAAGTTGCAGAATTTCTAACTTCCCTAAACCCGCAATAATATCTGAATTAAAGAGGTTTCTGGCATATTAAATTTTTATAGATTATTTTTGCCTCAGGCAGCTACTACCCAAGCTCCATTTCATTCTCTGTTAAAAGATTCTAAGAATAATAATAAAAGTTCTGTTCCTTGAACAGCAGAAACAACTGCAGACTTTAAAAAATATAAAACTAGTCTAACAAATTCAGCGATACTTGGTTACCATGGCCCTGGTCAGCAATTCTCCTTAACAGTTGATGTCTCGGATGTGGCTTTTGGAGCTGTTTTGCACTTGCAATGTAATAATGGCCTTACACCACAGGCGTTTTTCTCCCCAAAAAATTATCCTGTACGTAGTTTCAGCTAAATACAGCATATTCCATATAGAATTACTCGCCATCTATCAAAAATGCTCTAAAGTAATTTTAACATAATCCTGAGGGACAGGTTTTTAGAACATATACATACAGATCATCGTGTCCTCTAATATTTTTGTTTAGGAAAAAAAAATCAGATTCTGCATCACCCAGACAGATTAGACATATGAATTATATTTCCTAATTTATCGACACACAACATGTTCCTGGACCAGAAAATACGGCAGATACTGCTATTAAAATAAGCTTGATGTAACAACTTTTGCACAGATTGCTGAATTTCAGCATAATGATCCCGAACTGAACCATCTGCTGTCCTCTGAAAGTGACTCACTAAAGCTACAAAAGATGGAATTATCTTGTGGGCTAAATATATATTGTGATA